ACAGGACCATATTGATAAGAAGATTTTTATATGCTATTGTAAGTCAAGTTATAGATATAGATGTTAGCCAGGTCCATAGCCAGAAATATTGACTAGCCACCTAAAACAAACACTGCAATATTATATTTTTTTAATTTATAAAAAATCTATAGAGACATAATTCTGGGTCGAGCAATATTGAATCTTTTTATAATTTATGTACTTTGACTGAATACCTTTTATCTAAAATCATTCACATTATCAGTTATCAATACACAGTCAATGTGCCAAACGTTGGGTGATCATTGCTATTAAAGTCCAGTGTTCATGTTATAGGACCAGTGTGTAGGATTTAGTGGCATCTAATGGTATAGTTGCAGATTGCAACTCCCTCGCTTCACCTTCACCTGTTAAGCATAAGGGGGGGGGGGGGATTTCAGTGGCCGCGAAATGCGCAGAAAATCCAAACGGCCCTATCTGGAGCCAGTGTTTGGTTTGTCCATTCTGGGCTATTGTAGAAACATGATGGATCAACATGGCGGCCTCCGTGGAAGGCGATCCACAGCATCTGTAGATATTAAAAGGCTCATTCTAAGGTAACAAAAACATGACCATTCTTATTTTCAGGTGGTTATACACGAATGAAAATGTAGTTATGCATATTACAACTTTAACTTGTCTAGTCACCATCACTGTTGGCTACACACAAAGAATATGCCTCCACAACAGCATATTGAATAGTACTGCAAGAATATAAAAGTAGCCTAGAAATTAAGAAAAACAATTAAGAAAACATGTAGCCCTACACAGATTAGCCCCAACTCAGTAAAAAACTTTCCAACAAGTCAAGATGGAAAACAAAGAGAGAGAAAAATGTGTCTAAACAGGGAAGAGTGGTGCAGCCAAACAAACCACGTACCTCAGTCCTACAGTGACAACAAAGGAAAACAAACCAATAAATCAGGGTGAAGCCAGAAGACAACTTTTCACTTCTGAAATGAAAGTTTGACCATATCAAGGGGCCTTTTCTTTCCAAATAGCCTACTAAATCTATTTTTAAAGGTTGTGGTGTAAGAATTTAAAGAATTACAGAAAATGTAAATGATTATTTTCTTCCTTTAAAACGTAAAGGTCCAGTGTGTAACATTTAGGAGGATATATTGGAATATAATATGTACAGGGTATGTTTTCATTAGTGTATATGTAATATGTAATATGTAAATGAGAATCGTTATGTTTTGTTGTCTTAGAATGAGACGCTTTTTTTTACAGACGTCGTGGGTCATCTTTCATGGAGTCCAGCACGTTGAACCATCATGTTTTTACAGTAGCCTAGAAACCAAACCAAACACTGGTTCTAGATGTGTGTTTTTCTAACATTTTGCAACCACCCTTGTTTCTCCTTTATGCCTGGAGGGGGAGGGTGAAGCGACAGAGTTATGATCTGCAACTACAACACTAGATGCCAATAAATCCTACACACTGGACCTATAAGGAAACTGGGTTTGTTAATTCATATATAATTTCTATATGTAACAATGTATTGTCTCTGTCTACAGTTCTTCTCAAAGGGACATTAATAATGAATAATAAAGTTACATGGTTTTCCTTTTTCACACAGTTCTACTATAACACTTAGATACCCAGTTATACTGAAACTCTTTTACAAACCATGAGCTAAAGGAGTTATTTACTGAGTTGACACTTGGAGGAGAGGAGAGTGGAAACGTCAGGCGGAGCTTGGCGCTGCAGCACAGACAGACCTTTCTCTACCCCTCGGGAGCTCTCTGTGTTCAGATATTAGTATCTAAACAAGTCTCTCTGTCTGCACTGTTGTACAAGACACATCTTTTTCCCTTTAAGGACTGATCTGTCATTACAGTCACAACTGAAGAAGGAAGACACTGAAGATCTGCTCTCATGGCTCTCATGTTTGTCTGTTACCAGGTTTTGGCGGCATTATGGTTCTCTGTCCCGCCACCTGATGGCACTCAAGCTCCAGCACTACACCAAGTTTCTGTTCGTTCGAGACCCTTTTGTTCGTCTCATCTCAGCCTTCAGGAACAAGTTTGGAAGGTGTATATTAGTGGCTGGGTAGTCAGGGAGTGAGTGTGTGACTGTGTACGTGTGTCTGTGTGTGTCTGTGTGTGTGTGTGTGTGTGTGTGTGTGTATGGGGGGGGCGGGGGGTTGAGGAATGTGCTTCACTTTTGATTAAACAGCAGTCCTTTCATTCTTGAATGATTAAAATGTGTGTATTTGTGTGTGTCTTAAGGCCCAACGAGGACTTCTACAGGCAGTTTGGTTCAGTCATGGTGCGTCGTTATGGTAATGTGTCTGGCAGTTTGCCAGAGACGGCGGCTGAAGCGTTTGCAGCAGGAGTGAAACCGACGTTTCAGCAGTTTATCACATACCTGCTGGATCCGGAGACCGAGAAGGAGAGTATCTTCAATGAACACTGGCGGCAGGTATTTGTCTCACTCAGATACAAGCACACAAGCAGTATATGGCTACACGTCACGCAGTTTGAGATCACTATATGCATACTTACCCATTCTGTTGTCAGTTCCATGTCAATTTTTAAAAGACCAGATCAGTATAATATGAACTTCTTGCCATTATCTACGATTGTTCCTGCCATTTGCACTTTGGATGTGTCCCATTTGTATACTATATACTACATTAATTCTATGAAGTATATGTGTTGTACTAATGTTGACATTGCACTATTTTGACAGTTTTTATACAAGAAATTACTGTCTTATTTTGTTGTAATGAGAACCGAGGGCAACAGCACCCTGCGGAACACTAATTTACAACAAGAAAATAAAATTGTATTTCTACTGATCTATTTCTTAATTTGTTTTGTCAGCTGTTGTCATCCATCGCAGCAGCTCTTACTTCTTTTTGGTCTGTGTTGTACTGTGAGACAACTGCAACTCATCAATTCCTCACTCAAAAAATCTAAAAGCATTTGAGTCTGCATGCTGGGACAAACTTTAGCATGTGGACAACTTAATTTTCTTGGCATAATATGTCTCAACTCAGAAATAAATATTTTCTTCTTCCTTTAATTTTAATTCTGTCGTGCTGTTTATTTTCTACCTCTCCTGTTTATAATTTTTGAGGAAGTAGCCAAAAACATTGTACTCACAAACATGTGCACAAACAAATTATTAAAAAAACTGCTTTTCGTGTGTTTCAGGTGTACCGTCTGTGCCATCCATGCCAGGTGAAATATGACTTCATTGGACAACTAGAAACCCTGGAAACAGATGCGGAGCACCTGCTGAAGCTTCTGCAGGTGGATCATCTGCTCCGCTTCCCTTCAGGGGCCCGAAACCGCACTGCAACCAGCTGGGAAAAAGACTGGTTCACACAGATTCCCATAACAATGCGGAGAGAACTGTACAAGCTGTACAAACCAGACTTTGAGCTGTTTGGCTATCCCAAGCCTGACAGCGTGCTCCACTAGTAGACCCCTACCGAGCCAAAGGCCTGGGCACTGCACTGTGTGTAGAGCCCATACCTCACCTACCTACGCACAGCCAGCATATGCCTTTTAAAGACCAATCTGTAATGCTGTTTCTTTTGTTTTGTGCATACCTCAGAAGACAGAAGTGCCTGCCAGTATTATTTCATTTTCATCATATCATATCTGAAGCACACCCGCTTACGAGCTACGTTATCCCAGTCTGTTTTCCTCATGCAAAGGCACTTTGAATAGTAATTTGTGAATAGTATTTTGGTACAGTAAGTTATAGGGAAAGGACTGGGACTAACTGTTGGCTGACATTTCTCAAAGGAAATATGCTGCAGATAAATAAAGTTTTTTTGTAACTGTGTGACTTTCTAATTTTATTGTGTATGTGTAAGAAGTATTTACATCTTATACTTAAAGCAGCAACAAGGAACCTTAATTTTTTGTTGATTCTGGTGGTCCCTGTGGACAAAAGCGGTGATACTTCTACCACCTGGTCAAATCAATGGTTTCATTGATTTCAAGGAGAATCCAACCGAATCCAACCCAGTGGCTTTAAGAATAACTATATAGAAACAGCCAATGTTCTTGTTGGTTGTTCGTTTAAGTAGGTCATATACAGTAGGTGCAACAGTATTACATATAGACTGTTTCATAACCAGTTCAAAACAAACTGTAGTAAGTTTAAGTAAAATTAGCAATATAATGTAAAAGTAGTCAATTGCTGGTAAAAGTTCTCCATTAAAGGTTTCACTGGAAGGGTTACTTTACAGATTTCAGTTTAATAGTCCGAGGAGTACGACTCAGCCTTTGAAAACAGATGTATAATGTCTTCTGTATCTTACTGCACAACTCCTTACATTCACTTGTAATATAGTTGATATAAGGGATAATAATGTATTTGAAGAGATAGATGATTTTAAGTAAAAGTTAAAGAAACTGGGGGTAAATTAAAACCTGAATGAATGAGTGGAGAAACGTGACAAAATTTGTATTTCAGTATTATCCAAATCTGCCAAGCAGCTGCAGAAATATTGTCCTTATAAGTGATTATGCTAATCAATGCTAATTATGCAAAGTGTACAACAGCAAGTTTGCATGCAGGAGGTTCTAAAAGCTGGGGATCAACAATCTGCATTTTCAACATAAAACATTGTGGTAGTCAACATTTCTGGGTTTACGGTGGAGCTCAGACTATTAAAGTGTCACCCATTATTAGTTTCAAATACGTGGTTGTTTAACAGGCGGGATGGGTCTAACAGAAAGATGCTAGTGCAGCATTATGGGAAACATAAGATCCAACATTTTTGGAGCCTCATCCTTAAGTCAGGAGGTTTAAAGTGAGGACTTATTTGACCTCAACTGCTTTGATTTTGTCTTTTGTGAGCATCTTTATGAGTGCAATACTGTATTCAACTGGGTACACCCAAAATGTACTTAAGTATCAAAAGTAAAAGTACATGCAGAATTATTATACAAGGCACTACTTAGGTCTACATTACATAAAGAGGCAAATGAAATTAGAAGGAAAGCAGAAGCAAACACAGCTCTGTTCCCATGTCTAAACAATAAATAAAAGGCCTACTAGATACAAACTTAACATATTGTTATATTTTATACATTTATTCCACCTGCAGTGTCACCACCTGCCACATAAAAAGAAGCAAAATAAAGTACATTATTTCCCATTTAAAGTAAAAAAAAAACACTACCTAAAGTATCTAAAATACAACAGTAATAACAGTATAACAGAAATAAGAAAATGTCAGACTAGTTTCCACCACTGATGTTGGTTGGAGTGTGTATATATACGTGGAGAGGACAAACAATAACGCCCTCCACTACTTTCTATTGCACAAAAAACACAACAACCCACTCTTGTTGCGTTCACAACTGCCCTGCTGTCTGTTTCCACGTGTTCCAGTCGTTTCCACAGCCCCGCCCCCTTCCCCCTCCACATCTCTCCACCCATTGGCCAAGAGCGCCCCGCCTGTCACTCAGCGACGGCTAAGCCCCGCCCACACCCCAGCTTGACAGTTCGCTCCTGACGTCACCGGTTCCGTCCCAACACGGAAATATGGAATAGTGACAAGAAACGGCCGCTGCTGCTGTTTGTTGTTGTTGTTGTTGTTATTATTATGGATTAAAAGCGGTACCAGCTCAGCTTACATTGGTTTTTGTTCCTTCACTTCGTTGGTCCTGTCGTAGCCTTTTTCGCGATGTTCACACGGCCGCTGCTAACTTTGTGACACATGGACGCCCGAGCTGGAAATGGAGAGAGAGTTCGACCTCTGTTGTTAGTTCAATAGCTTTCAGTCCTCCGTTTTGTTTCAGAGCCATGAAAGAAAGCGTTTCGGGGGTCATGGGGGCTTTCGGACGCCTGCTGCTGTTTCTTCTCCTGCTCTCCTGGGAAGGCAAACTATTTCAGGTAACGTTAAAACTGTGTGTGTGTGTGTGTGTGTGTGTCTGCTGCTGCTTCTGCGGTTGTTGTTGTTGTTGTTGTTAATACTGTTTATGTCTTGCTATGTATGCGCAGCAGAGACTGCAACTGGCACTCTACTGCGCTCCTGTGTCTATTTCAGGCTCCAGAAAAGTTGCCATGATATGATAGGACGTTTAGTCCAAATTGCCTGAAGAAAGTTAATACTGCCTGGGGG